GAGAGAGAGAGAGAGAGAGAGAGAGAGAGAGAGAGAGAGAGAGAGAGAAAGAAAGAGAGAGAGAGAGAGAGAGAGAGAGAATTAATTATATATGTCAAGCGTGCTGACAAAATGAGTTACTTCTCAGATTCAAGTCCTGTGGAAATAGATACATCACGCGTAAAGGTGAAGTTTTTATAATTTATAAGTATGTCAAATAACAAAAGGCATGTTGTACTTTAAGAATATGGTAGCAATAAAAAGTAAAAAAATTTGACCCAAGTGTCGATTTTTGGCCAATATTTTCATTTGCGGATTGCGAGAAGTAACTCATTTTGTCAGCACGCTCACATGAATATGATGCAAGACTGGCAAGATGAGAGGGACAGAAGTTTTGAGTCTTACTTGTTATACTGGAAATGTGAATTCCGGTTTTCATTCAAAAACGATCTGTAGAAAACAGACATTTCCTCAGGTGTCAATGACTTTTTCTTTTTCCCCTCCATAGGCTGCTTCATATTTTGCCGAATAAACAATTCTTTCTCCTGAGAAATATCAAATAACAAAATATAAATATATATGACATAATTGCCACAAATTTGACACATTCTGGACCATTCAAGAGCAAGCATACCTTGAATGTCCTGTTTCTGAAAGAATAGGATGAAGAGCCTCAATTTGCTGGAGTAAAGAAAACAACATTGAAACATTAATGGTCATTTAGTGCTTGGAAAAAGTCAGAGAGATAGACAGAAATAACAGAAGGAAAATAAAGAAGTAGGACCTACCAGTAGTACCTTCCATCCACCCGCTTATTAGGTTAAAATAGCCATGCAGGCCTTGAAAGGCAACTGTTAACCAAACTTTAAGAACTTTTCACAGAAGATTCCAAACAAATTTTTATATCATATAAAAACGAAGAGTTTTTTTTACACCCCTCTCGTCAAACCTGAATCAGTGGCAGGACCGCTAACAATAATATCTATGAAAGACTTTAAAAAGATATGAAACTACTTGCCAGGGTAAAATAAATCCTCATGGGACTTCACTACGGCCAGCAGTTGTGTTCATTGGCTTGTATTACCACCGTTCCCTCTTCAAAACCACACCTACTTTTGTAATTGTAATCGAAACTGAAATCTCAGGCTGAAGAATGATCGTAGCAACAGGTTGAGATAGTTCATTATTTCCCCTTTATTTTCATACATAATACACGTGGCTAACATTGAAAATTGAAGTCGAAATCTTTAATTTGTCCCTAGGTCACAGATAGGGCCCGGTCCAGGTGAGGAAATCCCCCCCATAGTTGAAGAGTTAAGACAATTCAATAAGCGACCCGAAGAAAACAAAAAATATTATGAAGTCATGGTGTTCATAAAACTGACAAATATGAAATTCTCCAAAATGGGAAAAAAACGGAGAACAAAATTGAGAATCTCTCAAGGCATGTAGTGCTTTAAAAAAAAAGGACCAAAAAGGGGAAGAATTTGAATTGTTGATTTGAACTTATTAAACCTAGCAATCTAAGGTTGTTAGCAAAGATTTGAATGTGCTGAACTTCCAGTGCGAGTGAATGTACAGTAACATTTTGAAAATAATTACTTACATTATAGTCCAATATATGCACATCATTTGTTAAAGTTCTGATAAATGTATTAATGGAAGACAATACAGTTGAGCATGGACATCTCAAACAACATCTGAGGTTCACGTATGAGTTTGACATATTCATAATTTGAGTAAACCGTGACAATTAAAAATTATATGAGGTAGCCTACTGGAGAAAATCTAACGAAGTAACGGTGACAGTATGATAGCATTATGAAAAGTACTAGAATGGATGACGGGATGGAAGGATGGATAGTGTTTGCGCCGTATTTGGTGTACAAGCAAGAGAAAGGAAGAGTGATGCTGATGAAAAACCTGCCTTATGACTATTAAAAATTACTCGAATGTCAGATCACGATCATGAAGATGCAATCAATACTGGTCAGAGCACGCCACCCACTCCTTTTTGTGTAATCACTTTCTGGTACATTCCTTCACGTTCAACAAACAACCACGCACACACATACCCACACATGCAAACAAACAAAGTTCACACACCATTTGGCTAAGAAGCAGTGTCAAACTGTCTGTCTTCAATCACACCACCGCCACCCACCCTCGCATGGACTAAATTCAAGAAAGTTCTAATGACTTATGCACACAAGAAGTACAAGTAATGTATGATGATGCGTCTAGATACCAGTGTTGTGTGTGTCATGTCAGGAGGGCCAGTCAATGATGATGGGTGTATTTTTGGCAATTTCAATTTGAGACAATTGTGAAATTTTTTTTTTTATCAGGCTTTTTGAGATGAGCTGGTTGACATACCTGTGCTGATGTTTGAGAATACAGTGCTGTCAGTACCAAAAAAAGTACTGTGGTTCAGTTGGAGAATGGCACATTGTGTGAGCTATCTGTGAATATGAGTTTTTACTCGTTCGAGTTATCTGTGCTTGACTCATACCTTGAAAAATTTTGTGTTGTGTTTTGACCAAAATTCTTGGTTCCATTCAAGGACTTCCTTCCTTCTCAATCGAAAGTCTCTCTCTGTGGCAGTTTCATTCGGTGGAATGTAGAACCTGATGGGAGGGATGTTGGAGGTAGGATCAGGAGGGCCAATCATATCTGCTTTTGCTCCAACAGGGGGTTCCGGTGATATTTTCAATTTCTTCTTCTGAGGAGTACAAAAGCAGCATCTAGTTTATCTTTTCAACCAGCCAAGAGCTAAGTAAAACACATTAGTTAATCCTGCGTCTCCCATAAATAAGCTGCTTCCTATTATAAAGACAGGGGGTACCATTGTAAGGGCATGTCATTAAAGATCACCCAAATTCGAACGTCTCTCTCACAGAATGTTGTGCTGAGTAGTTCAGAGACTGCGTGATTCACAAGAGAAAATAACTTAAACTAAATATATCAACAAACTATACCATATCTTTTTTTTATCACAGCATAGCTTGGAGCTGGAAATTACTTGTTGAAAAAATTTAAGCATTCTTTTTGATCAACACCACATTCCTGCAAGAAGCAGGCCTAAATTTAATACGAAGTCCTAAGTAGGCAGGTTGTATAAACATATGGAATGGGGAGGATGTGTACAAAAAAACAAGGTGTGGGAATATCAACAGCCAGTAGTAGACAGAAAAAACTGAATTGACTGGAACATATTATCCTTACAATTGCAATTATGAACACCTCCACTTTCCCAACAGTAGCAACAACATAATTATGGTCAACTACAGATAAATTGATATCGTCGAGGGAGTGAAAAAAAAAATCAACTCATCTGCAGTTCAACTAAACCATCTCGTACACTGGCAATGTGTAGAAAACTGAAAAGAAAAAGAAGTACAACGAGGAGTAGTACACCAAGCTGGCTGGAAAACTGATTGATTAAGGCTGAGACTCATGTCTTAGCCATTTTTCTTTGGATTAGAAGCCTTCCGCTTCTTTTGCTCTGCCAGGATCCACCCTCTACAGAATCTCACCTTGACTTGACCTAACTTTGCAGAAAGCCGGCAAGTTGTTGTGTGTAATAATCTCGTTTGAAGAGGAGGTGCACATGTCATGATATACACATGTGAAGACAAAGCGAGTGCCTTCACATGACATGACCGCCAACTCCTCACGCCTCACACTGTCTTCTCTGCAGAGGTGGACCGGGGGTGGGGAGTGGTGGTATGGGGACTTAACCCTCTTAGCACCATAAATAAGCCAGCAAGTCAGCACAACAAAACCAAAATGGTGACCAGCTGATGGCTTCCCAGAACCGATATATTTTGACAGAGCTTTTAAGACGTTCAGGGGTGCAGCAAAGAATACTTTTGTTTTTTTATCTAAGCAACGGATTTCAATGAAATTTCACATTCAAGGATCTAGGACGTCAGCACCTAAATCTAGAGTGGGTTGTTCTTATTTCTAAGCCAGCACTAAAGTTAAAGGCAGGTGTGTCAGGTCAGTAATTGCTTGTATGGCGCTACAGCAGGAAAGCCAGTAAAAGTCAATATGGCAACATGATGGGAACACCAGTAAGGCTCAAAAAGGATTAATGTACATGTGTCCCAGTGGTGAGTCATGATTGACTCTCAGGTTTCTAATATTTTTGTCAGTTCTTCATTGTGACAAAGTGATAGTATCCCTTGTGTACCCTCAAACTGAGATAATGTTACCGATTGTGTCTACACTATACTGAAGAATGATGCCGAATCTCTTCCTCATTGTAATACGTTACGTATGAATTTCCAGTTACATCATCAGAAATATAATACAAAGTTGGACAACAGGATTAAAATTTAACATGATTTATGCCCCCTATACCATGCCAACATGCAGGTCGGCTTCATCTTTTATATACCTCTACCAGGATCAGCCACTTTTCCTTGGCTAAGAAGCCTTTCCGCTTATTTTGCTCTACCAGGGTTCACTCTCTACACAACTTCACCTTGACTTGACCTAACTTTGCAGAAAGCCGGCAAGTTGTATGTTATAATCTCTTTTGAAGAGGGAGATGTGCTGACAAATGACCGTTGACTCCTCACGATTCTCATGCAACTGAAGTGTGCATGCTAGAGATCTACTGCAAAACACTTATAAATGAAGTAGGCCTCTGTGCAATACCGCCTCCACTATTGATATTACCCTTGTCACAGAGGTTGTGTCGGCTTAAAAATTTGGGACCTGAAACTCTGTTTTCTATTGTGTGCGTTTTTTTGTGTATGCGCTTGACTAGACCGTGCATCCATTCTTTTATCATTTGTGAGGCAGCGCTGTGAAACCAAGCGCTCGTCAAAAGAACAAAATCAAAGTCAGAGAAACCGGCATTTTTCTGGGCGTTTGGCAATTTTTTTCAAATTTTCTTTTGTTGGCTCAACATCTGTTAATGTCCTTTTTAAAAAATCATTTCTGTGTGGATGTTATAGAAAAATATTGATTAAAGGCACAGAAAATGTAAATTTCCAGTTTCCAAGGATACTCAAACTCAAGCTTTGGAATTCACCACACTTTGGCAGCCATTTTCTCGGTTATTTTACCTCTCACGCTACAAGAAGCGATGATGATCTCTTTCAGCCACAACTATCTCGACGTCTTTTCAAGACAGATGGGGGGGGGGGGGGGGGGGGATAATCCTGTTTTGGCCCCACGATATCCTTCCCCCTACCCTGTCTCCACAGAAACCAAATCTAAACTCGATGTCTATACCTATTTCATTAATTGGGGCCAAATACGGAGATTCTTCAGATGGGTATTTTGTCACCAAATGCAAGGTTAATGAACAAGTTCAAGATTATAATATCAATAACTCTATAGATCTTGATATATGCCGAAAAATTTTTGAGTGCTTGATTTCATCACATCATGACGGCTGAGTCTACGCGTACGCAATTGCGGGCACAGAAGTTCAAAGCAAGGTATCATAGTTTGCTATATGCACGCAATTGTGTGTATAATACTGTGTATAGTAGGCCTATATAGACACGTTGAGTCTTTACGCACAGCGTCAGGTTCAGACTCGTAAAGAACTAGAAGAAGAGACATTGAGTCTACAAGAAAGGCTACTATTGAGTGATTTGAAGGAAAGCCACCCAGTTACATTCCATCTGTTGCTAGGCAACCTCACGTTTTCTGTTTTTCTGAGGCAGTTTTCAGCTGAAAATCTGAGGAATCCAAAAAGTCTGAAAATTAAAAGAAGAAATGTAGAGGCTGCGTGGAAGTTTCTGAATTTCTTATCTCAAGAATAAGATACAGGAGTGAAGATTCAGGTGATTCACCGAGTCTTATCCCCTCGTGCAACAGAAAAGGGGAAATATAATTCAGAGGGGCAAACTTATAGAAGAGGGAAATTAACTCGTATGTGCTAGCAAGGTTCAAATCCATGATCGACTTTGAGGACTTATATCTACTGCTAGATAATTTGACTACATATTAGGTATAGAAAACTGAACTGTCAACAATGTTAGTATGAACGGTAATAAAGGAACAAGTCCATAGAAATAAATCTATCTATTAAGCAAACATTACAAACAAAGCAAGATTTAGATATAATGACAAATAATTGTTATCATGATAATGATACTAAAATTTACGTACATAACCTAAACCCAGGACATATATCGAAACAACATCATCACCACAGATACACTACCAAAGAAACATCAAAGGGATAACGAAATACATCTTCATTCGTTCTGACATCACGGAAACAGACAGCCACCTCCCAGAATGAGGGTAAATGGCGAAGTGGCGTTTTGCAATGCCAAAAAGCTATTTCAGCTGTTCTTTCTCTCAAACACAAAATCTGCATTTTATACTCAACAGAACAGAACTCACACGAAATGTGTACAAGGCACAGCGTGAGAAAAAAAAGAAAGAATGCATCAACATCAAAGAACAAATATATTGAATTGGAATGTGAACATCTAGAAAAAGTATTAAAGTATAAAAATGCCAAAGTATTCCATGAACCCATGAAAATTTAACAGGAAAAATGAACTCCGCGCAAGGGAAAAGCTAAAAGATTTGAAGGGAAACATCACGATGAAAAATGAAGGTATGTTGCAGTCAGATGGGTTGAATAACATAGAATATCTGTATTCTGATGATGAGAGAGTCAAGGTTCCAGAGAATTCAAAGACAGGAGTCATTTTAAGGGGACGAAAAATACTAAAAAGATGAAGTCTCACTAGCAGCTTGACAGCTTGTAGAGAAATGAAAAAAAGAAAGGCATTTGGTCAAGATAACGTTTGTATTGAATTTATCGATTGGCGACAGCAGTGTACTACATCGAATCCCGTCAGGGACCCGACGTTGTGTCCTTGGGAAAGGCACTTTACACGAATTTTCCTCACTTCACCCAGGTGGGAATGGGTACCCGGCTATAGACAGCGAAAGATCTTGTCAGTTTGTTAGTGTTTGAGTGCTTTATCAGCTGCTTGCACTGTATGCTTCCCAGGAAGCTGAGAATGTTTCAGAGTGTTCCATGGTCTGCTGGGGTAATAAAATAGTGTAAAGCGCATAGAGCCTGCTGTTGAGCGGGGATATGCGCTATACAAATGCTATCTATTATTATTATTATTATGATTAAATTCTGATGAAAATGTTCAACGCCGTAATCTATAATGAAAAAAGAACTGAAAAGAAAACAGAGTGCATGGACATTCATAAACATGACACGGGCATTACTCGCACATGTGATCAGAGCCAATCAAGCTGACTACATTCCCTACTCTGCTTCGTCAATAGGCTTGGCTCCTCCAGCTTTGCAATTGGCTAGCATTTTTTCGTTGCAGCTCTTGACTGTCTTTGTTCGGTGGACCACCCATGTTGTGTATGTTTCCTTGGAATATTGTGACAGTGCTTCTTTAAACATAAAGTTGGCGAAAACATCACCAACTTTGAAGCGCACCACCTCGTGCATGATGAAGAACATTCACGGGCCAAGCGTCACGGAGGCAGAAGACGACACGCCACAACATTATGGCACGGAATTGGGTAAGCAGAGTATGATACCTTGCACGCAAAAAATGTGTTGGTGCACGCAATTTCGTATGTAAGCAAAAAATGTGTTGCCGAGACAGGGGAGGGACAATTTGGTGATTTAGTTTTTGCCTTAGGGGTGACTAAACGCAAAATAGGTTACTTCCAAAGTTGAGCAGTTTTGTTTTCTTGTAGTACCTTTTGAAGGCATTTTCAAAAATGAAGTATAATTCAGGAATGTTGTCCCAACCACAATTGAAGTATCTTAAAATTCAGACGTCTAAAAATCTCTAGCCTTAGAAATTGAATTCGATGCAAAAAATGCTTCTTCCCAGTCCTCACAGAATGGCAGAATGAAAGATGACACCGAACTCTCGCATATATAAGCAAAAAAATCTCGAGAACGGAAACCGTTTGGAGAAATAGGGGTCAAGTTTATTTTCCCGAGCGTTCGGAGAAAGTCACTTCGTTAAAAAATTTCACTCCACAACAAGCCACAGGCCACGACGATTAGGCACATGCGGCTTAACGTAGAACGGCGCACCCCCTGATTGGCTGCTAATTTAAGTAATGTGATGTCATCACATTTTTGGATGCCCACCGATTATTTTAGAAGACCGCGGAGATACTAAAGATTCTCTTACACTACACCATCTTTGGAGGTACCGCATGGAACGACATGTTGGGTCAGTGGCTTGACCTATTATCTCAATCAATGTGTTTCGCACGATAAAATTTCACACTTGTGGCTAACAGCAGCACGTCAGCCATGCTCTGGTGACGGAAGATAGCTTAAATCGTTGATGCTCAGAACAGCAAAACAAAGAACGCTGATGCTTGAAATTGAAACACGGTAAACGCAAAGATAACAAAGCGCGCTAAAATTGCCGTAAAGATGCCCGAAGATAAACCTCCCCCTCCCCGGGCCCAATAAACAATGCGCAGAAGAGATAAAAGCAGCAGCGTCCTCGGAGCACTGCATCATATCACATTACCAGTACATCTCCAGAAAAAAACCAATGCACCAATAGTCGTGCCATGGTAGGTATGGCGATCTTTGGTGCCATGCAGTTGGCTAGATCATCAGTCACGTGGTCGGACGGGTATCCCAGTCTGACATCACACAAGATGGCCGACTTACCTAAAAATAGTTTGCGTTGTTCTACGTTTAGTCGCATGTTGATTTGGCTACTGAATTACATTTTAAAAAGAACTTAAAAATTTCTCACAAGATTTAGATCTCTAGAATCTAGATCTAAAGGTATTTTTTTTACTAGAGAGATCTATTCCTCCCCCGTCATAAACTTAGCTGTCAGTTGTCCATTTTCCACTAAATATTAATTATTAAACATTGATGCGCTGAACACGAATCAATTTCATTTCAATCGCAAATTAAGGTATTTTTATAGAAGCACTCCCGTTTCGCGTCACATCCACTACCGGAAGTCAGCTCCTTCACCACTTTAGTGCCATCGGATATACGAATAAGGTCAGTTTTTTTTAGTTAAGGTTCAGTTTTAGGATTTTTTTGGGATAATGCTTGCTTTTATAGACATCAAGAGGCTCCATAATTACTGTCAGAAATGGAAACTTAAAATAAACTGTACGAAAACAGTATACACCATCTTCACGAAGAGAAAGCAGCCAAAGAAAATCTCAAACCAAAGATAGGAAATGAAAGTCTCCGCAAAGAAGAACATCCAACTTACCTAGGAATCAAACTTGACTATAGAGGCTAACCATGAAAAGCCAAGTGGAGAACATAAGGAACAAAAAAAAAAAAGACTCCAACTTTTAAAGAAACTCGCAAGCAGTTCATGGGGATCAGACAAACAAACTCTGAGAGCTCTATACCTGGGTTATGTCCGATCTTCCCTGGAATACAGCAATAGCCTACACACTATGTGCAGTACAACTACTTGCAACACCCTTGACAAGGTCCAAAACAATGCCCTTCGTTTTATAAATGGTGGCATGAGATCCACACCTACCGCCGCATGCGAAATCCTTGCAAATGTTGACCCCTGGGAATCCGCAGAGATAAAGCAGTTTTGGAGCTACATGAAAGAACTAAAAGAATGTGCCCCAACCACCCAAACAGGAAACTAGCAGAAACATGGAAACCAAAGAAACGAATTCAACAAAAGTCAATCATGCATCACATCACAGAACTAATGGAGAGCCACCATCTACCACAAAACAGAAAAGAGACCAAAAGAGTCAACCAAAACATCCCTCCCCACCTTTCTTTAAAAAAGCCTATCATTACAACATCTCTCAAAGACAAGAGACAAAATCTTCAGACCCAATGACGCTGATGCTTGCATCACATCAAACAATCGACAGCTATTCAGATGACTGGATACACGTCAATACGGACGGTTCAGCATTCAAAGGCACAACCAAAGCCGGATGGAATACTAATACAGTACACAGATGGAAGTTCCAATGAGATCTCTGCAGCCTGTGGAGAGAAATGCTGCAACTACGATGCAGAAATGATGGCAATTGAAACAGCACTGTACCATCTCCGCACAGTTTTTGACACTCATCCTGGAAAAGCACAGAGTATTGTGATTTTCACTGACTCACTATCAGTATTACAAGCCATAGATAATGATCATAATGACCATCATCTAAAACAATATTTGACTACTGTTTGGATCCCATCATCTGATAACATCCTGTGGCATCAACCTAGTAATGCAGTGGGTCCCCGGACACTCAGACATCTGGAAATGACAGAGCAGACACACTTGCCAAACGGGGATCTAGACAGGAACAACCCAACACTCCAACTTCATACAACACTGCAAAACAAATCATCAAAAGCAACAACAAACAAGATTGGATGAACAGATGGGCCATGGGAAAGACAGGCAGAGCAGTTTTCAAACATATGACCACAACAAAAAGGAATGACAATATCAACCGCCTTCAGAGAAAGAAACAGACCACAATCTTCCGCTTACGAACAGAACATAGCTCAACTTCCACCTACTGAACAGAGTAAACCCGGAACTTCCCCCAATGAGTCCCTTGTGTGACTATGCATGATGAGACTGTGGAGCATCACCTGTTCCACTGCACAGCCCTAAATGACATCAGAGCTACCCTTCTCTCTCCGAGACCTAACATTGACAACACACTATGGAACATTACAGCAACTGCAGCAAACCTGCACTTATCAACATGGCATTGGACAGAAGGGCGAGATCCCAGCTGTTGCTATCGATAACAACAACAACAACAACATAGACATTAGGGGGGGGTTTCAGGGGGTCTCCCCCAGACGTGCGAGTACGTAATAGCAGTGTAGTAGTAGTAGGTTGGGTAGGGGGGGGGGGGGGGTCTCCCCCCCCCCCTGAAATAAAGCACTGTAACATCTAAACTAACAATTTGCGACGTTTTACAATGCCAAAATCGTGTTCACGGCCCTAAAAACCTATAAAAAGCTACAAAAAAATACCCTTTATGAGACGGGAGGGTTTCAATAAATTTGCCCAAATTAATAGTTTTTGAAATATTTGTTGATAAGAGTTCTTAATCGAGAAGACAAGCTTTGGACCAATCGGGGGGTAGGGCTGAGGCAAATGGAAATCTGGGGGGTTACAGGGTACTGTTTTAACCTATAATTTGATATTTTACAGTTAGATTCTAGATTTGAAATTTTTCTGGGAAGGACTTCCGTGACGAGCGACCACCCCATCAAACACAATAAAGAAGAAGCCTAGATCTAGACCTAGCCTAACCCCTACCCCTATCCCAAGCCCTCAATTTTGCTCTGTCTCATAGTGGTCGCTCATTACGGAAGTCCTCCCTTTTCCTGAAAATAATTGATTTGCGACAGTTTTAGTGGCTTTGTGTGATCTGCAGCAAACAGTTGTACTGCAGTTTGACCCCCGAAGCCGTGCTTAGACTGTTTGCGGGAGTAAGTAAAAACTTACCGATCTACTGCTAAAACACTATTATTAGACTCTAGATCTTGATCTAGATCTAGATTCTATTTCATGACAATTTTACAAACCTCTGTTTCCACACCTCCCTCGGTAGAAAGGCACACTGACATGACCCTGCTTTCTCTCGATTTTAACTTCATCAACCCAGCCCTCGGACCATTCAACGAGCGGGGAACTCCTGCGATGTATCTTGACAATGACATTATAGGCTCTAGATCTAGAGGTGCTTTGATTGACGAAAGGACTATGATCAGAGCCGAAACTTTAGAGCACAGTTCGACCAAGGCTTCAAACCGTAGATTTAATTCAGGAACCGCCTTCGAGTCTCAATTGTTGATAACCTTGGCCAAGAAACTTTCCATCGGAAAAGATTGTTTTGGACCAGATCACAGATCTCTAATAACTAATAATAGGCCTAAAAATTCAACTTTTTAATTTTTAACTGACTGCAGAGACACTAAAATAGTGTCTCTGCTGACTGGCATAGAAAATACCTTTCGTATAATTCTTATTCAACTATGTTCAATAAAAACTTAATTATGTTTTATTTAGTCGATTGATAGCATTCTTTACCTTAAATTTTTTTTTTTATATCTCCATCAAACAGAAATGAATTCGATACTTGGACTTGGGAATTTAGTAAGCCTTATTAAGGAAGCAATTTTTTGGTGAGATATTTTGATCGAATAAAAGAATATACGTACACCAAAGGGAGACAAGTCTGCAAATAATATCAAAACGCTGCATTGTCAACAAAAACAGGAAATAAGTTTCAAGCTTTATAATAAAATTTAGTGACAAGACTAGATCTGGATCTAGTGACAGCAAGGTAGAAAAGAATATTCTCAAGTCCACTTTCAACTGATGCTGAGCCTTTTTTTTACACGGCCGTCCAATAAATATCGTATTGAGGTATTGTCAAAATTCTTTGAGGTCTGTTAGTTACTGTACTGTAGATACGCCACCGCCACCTCAAGTCAAGGCACTCAACTAGATTCTAGATTCTAGATCTAGATCTAGATCTAGATATATCTAGATCTAGACTCTAGACCGTGAGAATAGCGCAGGCGAGTCATTTTTTTGTTATTATTCTCACCCGGTGTGCGTTCACCGTGATAGCCTAGGCCTACTAGGCCGAAAGTGGCTATTCTCACCCGCCCGGAAGTTCTCGCAAGATCAACTCCTCCCCTCTTCTCTCTCTCTCTCTGTCTCTTTCTGAATGCTGTCTATCGGTGTGGACGATAAAATTGACCAAAACAAAGTTAAAAAATGATGTTAAAACACAAAAGTAAATTAATTTGGTTGTCTACAAAGATGCTACGGCTATTTAACTTTTCGAATCGAGCCGAACTACGCGGGTCGCCATTTTGTTTTGCCCGGAAATTCTCGCGCTACTCCTCTCTCTCTTTCTCTCTCTCTCCACTGCCCACAGACAAAATTGTACGCTTTTAGTAGGCTACAGTTGTAATGGAACGTTTGTTCACGGCACAGAATTCTACAATTTTTCTGTTTTATCACAGTGTAGAATTCTGTAGTTTAGGGTGAACGCAAAATTTGGTGAACGCGCACCGGGTGAAAATAGCCACAAGACTCGCCTGCACTATTCTCACTCCGGGTGAGAATAGAGGTGGCCTACTAGGCCAACCAGTGACGCCAGTGTATCGTTCACAGTGAACAAATGTTCCAGCGCTTTTGTGTTGAAAGCATGCAATTTTGTTTTGTGGGCAGTGAGGGAGAAAAGAGAGAGAGAGAGAGGGTAGAGAGAGAGAGAGAGGAGTAGCACGAGAACTTTCGGGCAAAACAAAATGCAGTGCTTCCACTCATCCCTATTTTTACAGAAATCCGTACTTTCTGCCAGTTCCGTACTTGTTCTTCCATCATTATCAACTCCCTCCGTAAAAACCTGTGACGGCGTTGGACTACTGAAATTCCGTAGCAAAAGATCCGTACTTGCCTTCGTATCGACATCGTCTAGTTCTAGAATCTAGTGTAAGTTACGGATATTTACGGTAATTCTCTCGGTAATAATATAAGTTAATGTTATAAGAAACCTGCCAGATTGCACGTTTCTTGCAAGGCCGTCGTTATTCGGACTCGAGTCTGAATAATATTTTTTTCATATTCAGACTCGAGTCCGAATAAAAAAAAATCTTATATTCGGACTCGAGTCCGAATATGAAAAAATGTTATTCGGACTCAGGTCCGGAAAAAAGGAAGTGTCTTCGTTCTATAGATTCTAACTAATATAACGTTCAGTGCTTCCAATTTTCCGCCATTTTTTAGTTTCCCCCACACTTTATCTGCCGATCCAATGCCCGCCGCCTCATTGATACGCCCCCCCCCCCCCCCCAACGTTTCCTACTTTCTTTGTTGTAGAAAAAGGTAAAATTGAAGATTAGCAGACCACCTGGCACCTGCATATTATGAGCTGTGGTTAAAAAAAAAGACCGATTCGTTCAAATACACAAGCCTGTGTCATTCGATTGTTTCCAAGAAAAAGTTGTATTGCTGTGTAGAGCTGAGCATACGGCAACTTTTGATTCCATAGACCAGCGCACAATTCATTACGTAGATCTACGTCAAGACTAGCTTATTTGTAATAATGATCAGTTGCCGGGGGGGAAAAGACTGACGCGTATACGACGTTCAAAGCCCGGACCGATAGTGCCCCCCCCCCCCCCCCACCACCCTCCCCGACACGCACACAGTCACACGTGTGCAGGCCGCCCATCCGACCCCGACACACGCTAACGAGCCATCTTTAATTGCTTCTGATGACCTCTTGACAAATAAACATTTATTAGAAGAGCTATAACTTTTCAGGCCGGCCTCAAATTCATCATAAGATTAAAACTCGGCTCCTGCACAAAACGCCTTTTTGCCCGAAGTGATCCCGGTCTCTACCCAGCCTGAGGCGAGTCACGAGTGAGGCAGGACAGGAAGCCAGATTCACGAGTCACAGGAAGTCGGAAGTGATGTCATGCTGGACAAGAATCAGAGTCCGAATAACATTTTTTCATATTCGGACTCGAGTCCGAATAATCACTTCGTTCCTGCAATCGGCCATTATTCCGCTATGCCCCATGCTTTCATTGCGGGCTTGTCGGCAGTACTTTTTTTTACCTGTGGATTGATCAAAATCTGGCAAACTTTTTGTGCCTATTTCCTCCTATCATTCACTCATTCCGTCTGTCTATCTTCGGATTGATGCAGTGGCTGGAAAATCTGCGCGTCGATCAAGTAAATTGACTTGTGATCTTAGACAGAAAACTACTGTCAGAAAGAAACTTTTTTACAAATTTGTCTAGATCTAGAGAAATGATCAATACAAAGATTCTATGGCACGGGAACGCGATTTATAAGGGCCGCGATGACAGAAATTTATGCTAAAACCAGCCTAAAACTACTTAAGTCAAGAATAATTCGAAGTGGTGTTCCGAGGTTGTGCGACATTCAGGTGTAAAATTTAAGGAAAATTAGGGTGCCGGGTAACTGTATTGTGAAGGTAATTTATTCATAAATTCCCCGGTTTGCCTTCTATCAATGGTGCGATGACAAATTTAATTGAATTATAGTAGCAATGGAAGGGGGAACCTGCTAAAATTTTAAACATTGCCATCAATGGAAATATATTATGATGTAGATCTTGGTGAAGAAATCGAACAAGAAAAAACGTTGGTGAAAAAATAGATGTGGTTTGCAGGAAATCTCTTCAAACAGGCTCCCAAATGCCATTTTCAACCCTCTAAAAGCATTAAATTTCAATTTCTTCAGGGGCTTCGTCCCCTCAGCCCCCACCGGGATGTTGTCCCTGGACCCTGCTGGGAGCCTCTGCAGCCCCCAGACCCCCTGCAGAATTTTCCTTACCTTTAAGCTTCAGCTGCTGGAAGCACTGAAAATGGCGACCTGCGTAGTTCGGCTTCGAAAAGTGAAATAGCCGTAGCATCTTTGTAGACGATCAAATTAATTTACTTTTATGTTTTAACATCTTTTTTTTATCTTTGTATTTGTCTTTTGATTGTCCACACCAATAGAGTCATCGTAGACAGTATGTATTCAGAAAGAGAGAGAGAGAGAGGAGGAATAGATCTTGCGAGAACTTTCGGGCAAAACAAAATGGAGACCGCATAGTTCGGCTCGATTTGAAAAATCAAATGGCCATAGAATCTTTGTAGACGACCAAATTAGCTTACAATTTATGTGCTATAATGTCTTTATTTCTTTGCTTTTGGTCCATTTGATCATCCACACCGATAGACAGTATTCTGAAATTAGGAAAAACCGGTCTTGTTTCACACCGGGTGAGACTAGCCAATGCTGGCAAGTCTCACCCGGGGTGAGAGGTTGATCGTATTTTTATTCTCACCCGGGGTGAGGATAGCCACTTCCCTGTAGATAACATGGATTCTTGTGTGGAGCGTGAGTCGTGAGTCGAGTTTAGCCTGCCCTACGTCTTCAGTAGGCTGTAGGCTGACATCTACTAGCTCTATATTACACGTTGTTAGTTGTTAGAATCTATAGTCGTAGGTAGAAGGACTACGCAGCAACTGGTCTAAAAATATAGGACATCACCTTTTCCACTGCACCGCCCTAAATGACATCAGAGCTACATTTCTCCCTCCGAGACCTAACTTTGACAACACACTCTACGGAACAGTACAGCAACTGCAGCAAACCTGCACTTATAATCACTACATGGCATTGGACAGGACATAAGGGCGAGAGTCCAGATGTTGCTGGATCGATAACAGCAACAACAAAAGTAAGCCGGTTTTAGTCAGTGATGACAGTGACATAAATATATTTAATATTTTGGCCTGCTTCAAGCGTTCCGTCCCATGAGATGAATGAAAACGAAGCTGTGATCCTTGACCGATCGACCATCCAGTGTAAGGGAAAATGACGAACTCTCAATTATGGAACAGAGCATTAGGATTAGGATATAATGTGACAAAAATGTATACGCCTTCCAAGATGTTTCAATTGCCCTATCTCACGTCCGGGGGATACTTGGGTACAACTTTGTGTTAGCGCATGACGCCCCGTGATAGTGATGCGAGTGTAAACAAAAGTTCCAGCGCTCTCGGGTTGAAAGCGTGCAATTTTGTCTGCGGGCAGTGTGTGTGTGTGTGAGATAGAGAGAGAGGGGGGGGGGGAGAGAGAGAGAGAAGGTTGGGGGGAGGGGGGGAGAAAGAGAGAGGGAGAGGGGGGGGGGGGGCAGAAAGAGGGAGGGAGAGACGGACACAGACAGAGACAGAGAAAAATAGAGAGAGAAGGGGAGGGGGGGAGAGAAAGAGAGAGATGGAAAGAGAAAGGGGAGAGACAGAAAGAGAGAGAGAGAGGGGATTTGTTATTATAAAATAAGAATAATTGATTCCCGTCATTTTCTCTCTGCGTCAGTTCCCAGGCTGACCCAGTGCACACAGCGGTTATAGAGCGCCCATTTAGTTTCGGCTGGCGCGAGGCAAGCAAGCCCGCGCTTCCCCAGGTCACGGGGTCATTTACCTGCGCCGCCGGGGATTTCCCTAATCAGCCGAACACCGGCAGCGCTCTTGTATTTTTTGCAAAGTTTACCAGCACAGTGAGCCAAAGCTAATGTAAGATGAATATTTTAATAAAGACCACGTAAATATTCAACATATTAAGGAAGAAAATGAAGAAATCGGAAGAACATGGTACATTACACTTAAAAGCTGTAAAGTTCTCAAAAAGGGGACTTAATTTGATAAATGTGTCATGGGTAATCAATTATAAACATCGATTTAAATATGATTGCCCCCAACGAATTCAATCAAATTTGCACACAGGACTGAGAACATAATGAAATTTGTACTGACAAAGGGGCATATGCACGAAGTTTCTGGATCCGTAATTATTCAGGTTTGAAGTTGATTTTTGCAATACTCTTGCTTTGCGACCTTGTTTTTTCATAGCGATATCCACGATACATGTAACTACAGGACAGATCTTTTCTTGCCGATACACTTATGAAAACACAACCTAAACACAAAATACAAAAAGAACACAATATTGCTGGAGTGGAGGAATTATCTCATTTTTCCGCGGTAAGCTTTCATCTTTTGATTTGTGATGCACACGACAGAGTAGCTCAGGGTGGGTTTGGACGTGTTGTGACTGCATGATTGTTTTGACGTGTTTTTCTTTGTCTGTTATTGCTGCTACTCGTTTTTCCAGCTTGGCCACGGTTGCATGAATGAGATCACCCCCTTGCTCACCATGGAAGGCCATTCCAAACCCACATTTTTGTATTCAAGGAACGCAGTGTTTCTCAAGGATGTGTTGTTTGGGGATGACCTTTTCTTTTGATTGATTATGATTGAGTAGCACGTGTTTTACGGCACTATCGACTCAAGACCTTTTATTTGCCAAATATGTTTCTGAATAAAGACATATATCGTGTGATGCATGACTTTGAAGGTGTCTTTTACGTGAACAAATTTCTCTCTCAGAACAATTAATGCGGTGTCTATTATGCTTTGATTTCGTGTACATGCAACTGTTCCTTTTGTTAAAAATGATGCTAGCTGTCTGTACACATGGGCTGTGGCAGTGGTTTCCTATAAATGAACGGCTGTGGTAGGCCAGTGGTGTGATATTGTGTTGTTTGAGGATGTTATCAAATTCAGAGCAGGCAGGACTTGACCTTGGAATAAGCTCCTCAAACTCTAACTCTGACAGCTGATCATGTACACTAGAACCCTTCCTCTCAAATCTCTCTGCTTCTCGTGGATTATCCGACAAAATCTGACAGCCCTGTAACAATTGAATGTCCTCCTTGTTTTTTTCCAGCCCTCTTTCATTTTTTTGCCGTAGATATGCACATTTTGTCCTATTCCAGGCGTGCAATTCTCCATAGATTGATGGACCAGCTGTACATCTATATCATGTGCCAGCTGTACATCTATATCATTTGCAGCCTCCTCAAGAAGGCGATGATGTTTGAGCACAATGCCCACCATATGACCATGTTGAGTGTGGCACTCCATGACAAAAATATTGTTAAAAATGACAACGAAAATCAGATGTAGTAGAGGCAAGAAAACTAAAAACAGCAAGGATGAATGTTCAGAGTGGTGGGTTGATATTTTTAAAAAATCACAGAAAATCATAGAATAACTTCGTGCATTTGAAACTTGCACATGTAAATGAAAATTGTCACCACAGTTGATACATGAATTTCTGTTTAAATCGTTGGGGGCCGGATTGAAATATCTAAATCCAAACTGAAAAAGTTCTAAACATTGAAGATGCCAGTTTGAAAATCACAGACTTACTTAAATCCCTTGTAAAACTGATATAATCGGACTTACAAGAAAACAAGTTATACCGGCCTACAGGTCAAACATAGCACGTTACAATGAAATCTCAATCGGCCTTGTAGCATTTATAGTTTCAGAGTTAAGAGGCTTTCAATTCGCACTAAAACGCCATATTTACTACTGCCCCGGCACAGGAGGAGTGGCGCTGCGGTAACCCCAATTAACCCCTCTGACAAGTGATTTATGACAACGCGCTGGGCTGTCGGGCGGGGCGGGCAGGGTGGTGAGGATGGTCGGGGAGGAACCGGGGAAGGAAAACTAAGTGAGCGGTCTGGACGGTATTTTATCCGCCGTGTGCAATACAGTCATTATTGTACACATATAACCAGTCCCGTCTTCCGAGTCCCACCTTCTGTTTCCCATCTCTCACCTCTTGTTTCCCATGTACCGTATCCAATTTTCCAAATATATCCCATATCCCGACTTAAATTTGTAAGGGCGCCTTGAAGCTGGCCAAAATATTAAATAAACGTCACTGTCGTCACTGACTAAAACCAGCTGACTTAAACCGGCAGTGGGCGCTCCCCCTAAACGAAGCTTGAGTGCCGTGAACATAGCCTCAACAGCGCCTGCAAACTGCATTCAGGGCGCTGTGAACGTAGCCACTGCGATACTAATAATGTCAAGTCCTAAGCCAACACAAACGGATAGCTAGAGAATGACAACTAAACGCTATTGGATTATATATATATATATTAATAGTAACAGCAATCTTGTTTGACGTCATTCAAGGATTCCCACTTTGTCAGTCATGGGGGCAACACGACCATACGACGGCAGCCTGCTGACTGGGATTATTTTCTTTGTAACTTGCAGCACCCTGCTTCTGCCCAGATTGATTCTGATGCTGTACACTACGTAATCTGAGAAGAGAAAAGACTACGAGTAGGCCTACGTACAAAAGCATGTTCAAACAAAGTTTAACGAGGCAGTGCAAATGATTGACCGTTTTGATCCGGATCGTTTCTTCTAAGGTTTTGTAAGCACAAGAAAGTAAGCACTTACAAGGGATTAGACTCAATAGGACGCTGAACTGCAAATGGAGTAGATCTAATAGGAGACTGCAAGCTTTGCAAATAAATACTGTGAGGTGCAAAAGCAGTATACTAGGACTAGGGGGAACCACTAGGAAAGACTCAAAGAGAGAAGCTTGGAAACCGCGCTCCATGCAAAATCATCTCTAGCCTAGGCCTAGATCTATAGAATCACGATCAGAAAACGCGGCGGGCATCCTCCTTGCGAGATCAAACAAGATGGCTGTTACTATAAATATCAGCCAATGGCGTTTAGTTTTCGTTCTCTTGCTATCTGCTTGTTAAGCCAACACACAGACATACCGGTAGTCAACTTGTGGTTGTTAGCATACTAAAGCAAGCGATGAAATAATTTAAAATTAAAATAAATGGCAATGGTAGAAATTGTATGAATTATATTGAATCTAGATTGTGATCTTACTTTAGGTCTACATCATACACTATAATGTATTCATTGTAGACCTGTTGTTGTTTTTATTTTTATTTTTGAAGTGACGATTTCTCCGAACGCTCGAGAAAATAAACTTGACCTCTATTTCTCCGAACGGTTTCCACTCTTGAGATTTTATGGTTATTTTTTTGCGAGAGTTCGGCGTCATCTTTCATTCTGCCTTTCTGCAAGGACTTTGAAGAAGCATTTTTTGCATCGAATTCAATTTCTAGAGTTACAGATTTTTAGATGTTTGAATATTCAGATACTTCAATTGTAGTTGGGGCAACGTTCCCGGACTATACTTCATTTGAAAATGCCTTCAAAAGGTAGATCTACTGCAAGAAAACAAGACTGCTCGACTTTGGCAGTAACCTGTTATGCATTTAGTTTAGTAACCTCTAAAGCAAAAAAAAAAGAAAAAAAGAATCTCTCCACGTTCTTTAATCTTAGACAAATTTTGACTTTGTTCTGTCGCAGTTTACACTAGATTTTGAAATATTTGATGTTTTTTGTTGGAACTTCTGTCGAAACTTTCCAAGACAGCCACCTTTGTTGAGGAGAAAAGTGGCTCTTACACACACAGTGTCCTTATGATGTAAAAAATATACAAGGGAGGAGGAAATGGAAAGTGGCTGTTTTGTAGGTGTGTTTGCTTTAATGTGGCCTTTAAAAGTTAAAATCAGGTTTGGCTGTATTGAAAGCCTAATGACATTATACTTTATTTTACATATATAATGTTTTTAAAAAATCGGAGGGGTTTCAGAATGGCCTGTCCGCCCCCCTATGTTCTCCTATATTTTGATATTTTGCAATTAGATTTGAGATTTCTAATAAACAGTCGATTAACGACAATTTTAGTGGTTAAATATGTGTTGCTCTTCTATTAGGTGTCTGTAGTTAACAAATAAATGAATGTCCAACTGTAGAATTTAGATCAGGTTTTATTCAAATATGGATTACCTTATTTAAACCGTTTGGAAAATGAAAGGGGAACTAATTAGGAATAGTTTACGATATTGTTCTCCCACTTAGCCCCTTTGTGATACAGGATTAGATCATGGTCTACCAGGCACAGTTTTGGATCCTCAGGGACAAAGAGCAGAGTAGTGTTAAGTTTAGTGGTCAATTGTCTTCATTTAATTATTAGACTTGATTTGTAAATACTACCAATAATCTCTAAAAAGAAAAGATTTCTTTGTACACAAAAAATATTGCTTTAATCTGAATCTGCAATAGTTTTCCGAAGTGCATCTGATAGAAGCAATATGGCGAATACAACCTATGATGAACAGTGTTCGTCATTATGGTCCACATGCTTCGCAAGACATGACTAACAGCATGTATGTCACCGCAGCATTTTTCTTCCTTCAACGTATGAGAAAAATATGATGAGCGACATATACACGTCATATAGGTCATAAAGGAATTGAATCTTGTCAGCGCTGCTCAAATTTAGACTACCTGTATGTTAAGTGTGAGCGAGGCATATGGTGTGTTTGCTACTCAGTGGAGGAGCTAGGCTGGCATGGCATATATGCTGCATTTGCCAGATGAATACTTAAATAGACTGTCAGGAAATGAGCTAAAAAATACTGTCAGGGCCTTTTCTCTTTTACTTGAAATGATGACATATATGTAATATGCAGCAAATGATTTGAAGTGAAATTTTACTTTTCAACAGTGAATGCATGCTGACCAACTGAAGACAAGCAGTTCACAGACTACTGAAGCCACATGGCTCTGACATCTTTACGGGCCTTGCCTGTGTGGCAGAAGGCCAGACAGGTGTCTGAGGAGCCAACTCCGCTTGACTTTTATTGTGAAGACAGATGTGGCCACAATGCTGTTTGTATCAAAGAAGAACTTCTTGTCTGGGGTGGCTACCATGTAAGTGGGATTTTTTTTTTGGTGGGAGGAGCAGGGGTGGGAGTGATGGACTTGTTTGCTCATGGAAACTTCTTTGTTTACCAGGAAAGGCAGAATAAAAGCAAAATTCTGGCTTATGATTGTAACTGAATAAGACAAGGCGCACAGGCAGTGGAATTTTAGTTGTAACGGGGGGTTCCCCACCGAGCGCCTTTTCACGTCAGGGTCACGGGGGTCAGCTGCCTGTCGCCTCTTTGTCTGGTTTGACTTGATTTTTCGTACTTTTCAACATACAGTTTTAGATTTATCCTTGTACTTATGGTAATTATCATTTAGTGCACCCAACACACGCATTTCTGCTCTTGAGACTCAAAAAAGAACGGACATTGTAACTTATCTGGTTATTTTGTTAGACGCGCTGAAGTCGGCAATGCTAAATTGTAAAATGTTTTTGACAAGTGTGAATGAAAAGAAATCAATGTAGAAAAATTGGCACGACAAAAACTGTCGAACTTTTGGAACATGACCCCGACATACATTGGTGCATATACTAAAAAAATATGGTATCTGCACGTATAATAGGAATCTCTAATTTTGCAACTTTATCCATCTGGTACAAAATTCGCTATGAAGTAATTCCTCCAAATACAACTTTATGTGTCTAATATAATCATGAATATTCGCATATTTTCTCTAAAGTTTTGCAAAATTACCTTGATTTTAGTGCCAGAATACATCTACACTGTAATAAACAAACAGTATCTTTTACACTCCATAAATTCCTTATTTTTCTTAAAACGCTAAGTCTAGGTTTTGTAAGTTGACTGAACAACAGGGATGACTTCTTGTAATTGTGTATAAGAATAATGTCTAGCTTTTCAGTGACACTGAATCAGCACCAGACTTTTCCAGCTTTTATTTTTGTTGCTATGTCCATTTGAATTAACTGACAATGTTCTGATTTCTTTACATTCATAAGTATCACGCATGTGTCCGACACAAAAACTAAGAATGAATGTGTTAGCTGTCATTATTTTTATTCCATACAAGAAGTGCATCTCTACCCATGTATTAACACAGGTTTGTGTTTTTAAAAAATCGCATAATATATCTTTCTTAGTTGTATGCAGGCTGCCACAGACACAGCATGATTCATGAACGAACGCAGAGTAACTGTCTCTTGTTTAATGGTAGAACAACAGCTAACGTTGAGTGTCTTTCGTTAAAAAGTGCAGATGTGCATTTTTCTTCTCTTATAACTCGACTATTTATTACTACACGCGCAGACGTAAGATTTCTCATGGTAAAAGACATGATATTTGTAGTCAATTAACACAGGTTTTGGAGAGATCTGTCGTGCCTTTTTTAAATAAACAATCATTTATTCATAAGTATGTGACTAAAATGGGACAAATTGGGTACTCTACAAACACTTGTCTAGAACAAAAACTAAAGCACAGAAATTAACCATTCAAACGCAAAATAAATCTCAAGACATTGAACTTTTAGTACATTCGCGTAATGGTTTGCTATGTTATATCATTTCAAACGTAGACAAAAATGCGAACTTCTTAACCGACACTAGCAAGTCACTTCAGGGCTCATTAACCGCGTGACCCAGAGCCAGGGAACTCCGGCGGGCTGCTGAGTCACACTAACTAAAGGTAATAGAATCGGGCAAAAAGTGAAGCCGTGAAGAGCGATTGTAATGATAATAATGATGATGATGAACTATGAAAGTTTGGTATTGTACAGAGATGCAAGTCTGGCAGACACATGACTCACATGACGAGAATTGTAGAAGTAATGTGGTTAAATTGTGGGTTTGTTTGTATATAAAATCTTTTAAAAAATAATTTTAAAAGAAATACTGTACATCTCAGTTGTGATGGTTGTGTGACACTAACAATCCCTTGTCAGGATTATTGTGGATATAAATTTTTTAAAAACTTGCAAAATAAGTCCAAATAAGTCCCGGGGTTCTTGAGTCTGGGAAAAGTTGGGTGTTAGGTAAAAAGGAGTCTTGGCCTTATTGGAGTAGGGAGCAACTGACTACAGGCAGAAAAAAAATCTCCTTTTCCTTTATCAGATTTACAGAAGAGACCCTTGTGAGAAAGGTATATAATGAAGGCTAGCAGCTCCGACTGTGTAATGACTTTGTCTAATCATACCTTTAAATTTATCCACTTTTGGGCTTGCTTTTCATTGTTTGATTCTATGCTTTTGTGTTTTTATTCTAAGGAGCGGTCTATCGGGTCCATGTATTGTGAAAAAAAGATTCTGTGGAGTTTCAATTTGGATTTGGATTCATGGTAAGTGTTGTCCATCATTTAGGTATTTACCATGTCACCTACATGCAGCATATCTTGTCGTTTTCTCCATAGCTTATCACAATTCTGCTACTAATGAAAAGATCTCCTTCTCTTCCTTTGTGAAAAGGCCTGTGCCTTTGTTTCTCATTGCCAGATGTTAAAAGAAAAGTCTATTGTTGTTTGCTTGTGCTCATGCTGTTCTTATGATAAGAAGGTAAAAAATACTGAGACTGCTCACAAGAGGAGTGTAAATGAAGTTCTTTGTTGCTTTGTGTGACTTATTTGTCTTTGCAGGAAGAAGTCCACACTTTTGGTTGCTTTTTGTTTTGTTTGTTTTATATCCTGCTCGAAATCACTGACTACAATAGGGGAAGGGGAAATGGAAATGAAGAGAGACAAGATTCAAAATTTAATGTAATGTTTGTCTGGGCATTTATTTTCCTATGTTGTGTTGTACCCCCGTTTGAATGATTTCACTTCTTGCTGGTTTGTAGTGGCTTAAAAAAAAAATCTCCATCTTCGAGAGGGGGGGGGGGATGTGTTATAGTTGTATTCTCTATCATGTCTCGTGTTCTGTACATGAAGTAGGTGATCAATTGACACAAGAGTGTGGTCTGCTTTTCCTCTATTTTTCAAGTTACACTTTTCTGTATCTGGTGAAATGTATCTATTCTTTGACCAATTTCGGCTAATGTACATTTCACCAAAACAGCAGGGCATAAGCCATTGCCTGTCGTAGAAAGAATTAGTTTTATTTTCATTTAGGGAAAAGCTTTTATTCTTTGTCTCCATTTTTCTCTTGTGCAATACTGATGCAAGCTGCCTTCTAAATGATTTTGATTGTATTGATTTGGATAATTACAGAAGCAAAGATGTTACCCGTCTCTCTTTGCATCGTTGCATCCTCTTAGGTATAGAGTCACTACATATGGAAAGGGCCCAGAGTTTCGATCTGGGGCATGCAGTGCTTTGATATGGCCCCGCTGGTACATCATGTGTGGTCACACTTACGACGGGGATGTCAATGATGTGCATGCCTTGAATCTGATTACTCTGCGCTGGGAGAAAATACAAGTTCCTACAAGAGGTGTAAAAGCTATCGCTCCTCGAGACAAGGCCACAGCCTGGGCTCATGAAAATAGGTGAGTTGATTGGCTTCAGGTTCATGTTCTTGCAGGTAAAAAAAAAGGGATTTGAATCAACCCCCCCCCCCCTCTCCATAACCCCTCAAACCGACAGTCAGATAAGGACTTGCCAATTGCATAATTACTTATTTGTGCTTGGCCATCTCTGTATGCTTGTGGCCTGAGCAACCATCATGAAAATTTTCTTTATCATTTTTTTGTTTTTTTACCTACAAGTCATCGCCAACAAATTTGCAGGAACTTCTCAGCCTTTTGGCCCGATAGACTGCCTCGGCAAGACTGATGTCATCCTTGAACTTGCTGTAGGCTCATCCCCATCTTCCCCTGTCATCAACATTGACAGCACTAAACTGAAAAATGTCAAGCACCTCAAATATCTTGGAAGCGTTATCTCATCTGATTTCTCTCTTGACAAGGAACCAGCTGCTTGCAACATAAAGGCCTGCCAAGCACTTGGTCACCCCCTCACCCATGTAATGAGCAACCAAAACATCCAGCTTCCTGCCAAGATGAAAGTTTGTTGTTCTCACAAGACTTTTATTTAGCTATGAGACATGGACAGTATGCAGGAGACACACCAGGCAACTTAAGAAGTTTCAGGCTGAGTTCCTGCGGTCGGTCTCGGGTTCAGTTAAGCGTTGAGACGTGGTGATGAACCTATAAGTGCTCAATGGTGAGGGCTGATGAGCGCTGAGGCCATAATCATCAAAGTCCATCTCAGATGCATGGGCCATGTCATCCACATGGACACTGAGAGAATGCCACACCACATCTTCTACAGAGAGCCTCAGAATTCTCGGCTGGCTCAAAAAGAGATACAGACTTTGACAAAGAGCACTTAAATTCTGCAGTATTGCTCCAGAAGTTCTTGAACTCTGTGCTAAAGACACAACTGCTTGGCGCTCACAGACCAACAGAACACAGAACAACTATGAATCACCTCGGCGTGACCATCTCACCGTTGCTCGGGGGGCATGTAAAAGCCTCCATCCAAGCCTCAGCCACCTTCTCATGCCCTCAGTGTCCGTTGGCATGCTCATCAGCCACACTTGAGCCCTCTACAAGAATAGAAAAAATTGTGCCTGAATGACATCTGATTGATGGTCTAGTAACTAACACTACCACTGCTTGAGTTGTTGTTTACGTATGTTTATGAACTTTAATACATTTTTGTGCCAAAAGAGAGTCCAAGAAAATTCTCATACCTCACAGTAACTGTGCTTAATAATTGTCAAAGATGCTCCTCATGATGCAGTTAGTGCACCCACTGTCTCAACAAGTGCATATAATGATGCCTCAAGTGCACCTAGTGACATCATAAATGCATCTAATGACGCGGCCGTGTGGAGGGGCTACTGCTCTGTCTTGCAACAAAACCCCCCAAAAACCAGTCCTACTAACTGCCGTCCGGAGCCGTCTGTAGACTTATTAAAAAAATTATTTTGCCTTACGATTTTTTAAAGTAATTTTTTGTTTGTTAACAAAACTGGCCTAAAATAATAAAACTGGACAGAACTGACATTTTGGTGAGGTCTGTTGATTTGTTATGAACCGGAAGTTGGACGAAGCAGACCAACAATCTCTTTTTTGTTTGATCTCTGATCGTTTATTTTTCGTTTCGCAGTGTAGAAATTATAGCCCGTGCCTATGTTTTTGTGCTCTCTCCCAACCTGCCATCCCCCCTTTATTTCTCACACCTCCCAGATGTACAGTAAAAGGGGTAGATCTACTAACTAAAGACAGCGTAGGTTTTGTGAATGTAGGTGGTTTGCACATAACAGGCTTCAGCTTCTGTAAGAGATGACGGCCTCCGGACGGCTCCAGGCAGCTCCGGGCGGCAATTAGTAGGACCCCGAAAAAAGCCACTGTCTTCTACCGCCTTTTCTCTACTATGAAGCCCTTTAGTATTGGGCATTTGATAAGAAATCACGGTACACTTGATGCTTTTTCTGATTCAAGCCTGTACTCATGAATAATAATATGGTGAAAGACTGTTGTGAGGTTTGTATGACTTATTCAATAATTGTACATTGTTGTTTTCCTTGAAAAGTAAGCTGATATTGTTTTTACACCACATGTGGGAGGTCATTTATTTTGTGTAAATTGAGGGTCAGTTTACTTTTATTGTTTTAAAGGATAAGCTTATCACTCGTAACTTTTGTCTGTTTCCAGCTACATTCAATATTTATTATAATTTTAATCTTTGAATTCCAGGGTTGCCCTTGGGAAGACTGGGTAAAGTTTCAACTCCATATTGCTTACTTGACTTTTGTACTGAAAGCTGTCTCTAAATCCATTTCGATGGCATGTCAGTTTTACTGTCTGTTTGACCGTTGTTTGCAAAAACTTATTTCTTGATAAATGTTTTGTTCCATTTCTCCTGTTTTATCTTTCTTTTCAGCCGAATATATATCTTTGGTGGTTATGGCATGAAACCATATGCTTTCATGTGGAGTGGAGAGGAAGATAAATATACCCTTGAAGTAGAGGTATGTTGGTTCTTTGATTTACGATATTGTTTGACTTTTGAACTGTTTTCAGTCTTTTAAAAGGAGTATATGACAGAAAATCTATTTGGAAAGCAAGGCATCTCTTGGAAATGCACTTATCACATTTTATTTATAACACTTGATGGTTTTATTAATACTCTAAAAAACAGTATTCATTCGTCTCCTGCTCAAATGTTCCAGATATCAGCCTTTCCCTCCGCAAGCTAACAAAACTATCCTGTACAAAAATGACTCAACAACAAATTAAACTGAATGACAATCTGCTGTCTGTTTTTCTTTTGTGTTTTCTTCTTCTTTTTTTTTCTTTCTTTTTTAATTGACACATCCATTTAGTTTATTGTTTATTTGTATGTGTGATTGTGTATGTGTGTATATGTTTTACAGTGTGTGTGTGTGCACACATGTGTATATTATGTGTATGAAAGAAAGAAAGAGAAAGGAAGAGATTTTGCTGTTTGTACACATATATCCTCAGCTAGGATGTCTTATTTTTATTGTTAAAGCGAACTGGTATTTAATTCTCACTGTCAGCTGCTGCGTTAAATATTTCTCTAAAGGATGATAAACTTCTTTCATATCTTATCTTATCTTATCTTATCTATTCTTTCTATTCACTATTGCTGGGCACGGGGTAGAAAGGTGAATATCACCTGAGCTATTGAAACAAATGATGGTGACATGAATAAATTAACACTTTGCGGTGAAAATTATCAGTTATTCTGCGCCGGTCCAAGAAGTCGGTTGCAGTCGCTCTCCTGGCTGGGTGACCAGATGGGGTATTTTGTAGTGCAAAGTGTTAAGTCATAGGAGTTTGGTTTCTAAATGTTGGATGCTATCATATTACTCCTTCCAATTTGGTGACGCAAAAAATGCTGTAGACTTCTACCTCATCACCTATTTGATGGGTGTTGAACTCAAACCAACCAAGTCTGAGATTCAAAATTGATCAGTTAATGTTATGTTCCATATCGTGCGTAAGAACGAGGCAGGATGAGATTATATTTTCTGTTGCCTGAAAGAAAAGTGTTTCCTCACTAGGCTGCTCTGTGACATTACTCAAATTCACTTGATGTGATTGTTTTTATTGGAGGTGGTTATTAGTTGAGATTTTGACATAGTCTGAATTCTGAATGTTAATATTCAACTCACAGTTATTAATTACTTCAGTTGATTGGAGCCTTTAAAGAAATTTTATTAAATTTCCGGTTTACATCACAGTATCATGGTAATTTTTTGCAAGATTCATTATAAGTAGAGTCAAATTTGTCTAAGACAGCCACCTGTTATCGAGGAAAAAAGTGTCTGTCCTATACAGGTGGATGTATTGGACAGTGTCATTGACACTTTGCCATCATATTTTGGGGAAAATCCAAAGAAACTGGGTGGTAAACATCGCCTATCAGTGAGATGAGGCGGCAAAGTGTTAAACTGTTTAAAGATTGCAAAGTGGAAAGTGCGAAATGGTCGTTTGTTTAGGTGATTGTCATGGGCTGGTGGGGGTAAGAGCAGGTTTGACTCTGTATGTGTAGTAACAAACCGTGTCAACTTTTTGTGCGAAATGTAGAAGTTTTTTCAAAAACAAACTATTACATTAGGCTGTTAAAATGGTTTTTTAATGTTTTTTGTTTAATTTTCCAGTTTGGAAGAGGTTGGAATGATCAAATTGTGTACTTGGATGTGGAGAAAAAGTGCTGGGTGCGGCCGCAATGCCAGGTATTTAATTGCTTTCTTGTATCCCTTCAAATAATCTGCCTTTATTTTTAATAACACTTATGCATAACCATCAGTTTTGAATACACATGCTTTTTCATGATTTGCAGAATTTGCGCTTAAAGAATGTTTTAGCTTGCACTTTTCTAAAATTGTTTTTATAGTTTTTTATAGTTTGGATCAGTTCTAGAGTTGCTGAAGACCATTTACAATTGCTTTGTATTGTTTTGTTTTTTATCTTAATGACTATTCTGGAAAAAATAAAGACTATTTTTTTTCATCCTTTTGAATTGCAGGGGCCAAAGCCAAAAAGCCGAGCGGCACATGCGACCATCTACGTGGAGGGGGATGTGTATTTATTTGGTGGTCGCCACCAGTCAGAGAGGATGAATGACTTGCATCGGTTCAATGTGGAGTCTCATCGATGGAGTGGCACGTGAGTACGGTTGTCTTATGAAAACTCAGGTTATAATGGGACCAGTGACAATGTGTCTCTTACAGTACCTGTTCAAAAGGTTGAAAAAGTAGTTAGTGGCTTTGAAACTTTTGGTGTTGGTTTTAGAATAAAGTATCCTTCAAGTATCACAAATTGTTCTTTTGCTGCCAATGGCTGATGGAAATAGATATTTTTGTTGTCTGTCATGTATAGATTGAGTGTGGTTATGCTCTGGGCAAGTACAGTTGAACCTGTACTAACGGTCACTTGTATTAGAGTCACCTGTACAAAAGGTCACTTCCCATATCCTCCCTTACATAATTTTTCACATCATAATGATACTGAGTGTGACAGCCACCTGTTTAAGATTACCAATTTTCTCCTCGACAATTGGAGGCCATCTTACATCGTTTTGACTGTAAACAAACCTTTGGCATTCTTGATGCCATTTGCCTTTGCTTTTGTAACTGGATTATGGCTGGTAAAAGAGCTAGCTAGCGATTGATTGACAACTGGATCGATACCTTTTGCAGTAGTGGTGTGTGAGTACAATATTTTGGACTTGAGTGAGTCAAGAGTCCACGTAATAATGAAATACTGTTGTTGAATACTCTAGTACTTGAATCATGAGCACATTTTGACTACGCTATTTGCTTTCATTATGTTATTTGCCGATGCCAATACTAAATTTTGCCACCTCCATCAATCCTTTCTGTCCCTCCTTACGGTCCCTCCTTACTATCTGCAAATATATGCACACACTTGCGTAACAAAAGTAAAAATGTTCACAAGTAATGCAGAGAGGAAAAACGCAAATAGATAAAGTGAAGAAAGAAAAACGTTATTAAAAGAGTAATATAAAGTAAAGGAAAGATTCATTTGAAAGTAATTAAATTAAGAAAGAATGGTGACAGGTTAGAAAAGGAGAGTGCACAGGTATTAATCTCACACAAGTTATGCTTAAATCAGGAAGCAACTTTTGTGGTTTTTGACTGGGGTGAGCACTCGAGTTTTGAACACAACTAGGGGATGGGGTGGACTGAAGTACTGATTCACCCTTAGTTTGAAGTGCCTTTTGTGAGAAGGTGATTAGTAAAGACACAGCTGGCAGAAACATGGACTTTCCTTTTTGAGAGTCTTCTGTGAGTGCATAACAGAATAATGGAATGCTGTTTCACTACAGTCCCCTGAATAATCACAATTTGGATACAGGGTGTTTAGATGTCCATCAAAGACGTTGGGTTGGGTCGGGTCAGTGAGTTTGGAAAAGGAACAATGATCTAAAGAGAGTGGGAAAGCCAAAGAGGGAGAGGAGAAGAAATAGAGAGGAAGGAGGGGAGTTTGCTCAAACAAATCGTTCATTACTCTTGTACTTTTTTTTTTTTTTTTGGTCGTCGGCCATCACAGCTGTTTCACATGACCAAGATGTCTTTCTTCTTTTATCTGTACTTGTACGTATTTAATGAGCTGTAACAATTTTTTCCCCTCTTTGTCCCCCCAACCAGGCTATGTTGCTTAGGTACATTACCTGAGGGCAGGACTTGGCATACGCTGTCTCGTGCCTCGAAAACTGATCTGCTAATGTACGGCGGTTTCAACGTTGAACAGAAACCTTTAGGTGAGAATAATGTCACTGCTAAGTTGAGACAAAATAGGGTGTGAAGTTTTCAAGTTTTCAGCCTCTAAGACTGTTAAAGAGTTCCTGTATGTATTAATTTACATGCATATATATATAAATTTTTTTTGTTTTCTGATAAAGTGTACTCTTCAGATGTATCATACATAACAATGATATTTGGTCTTTCATTTTCTAATGATGAGCAATGCATCTGCAGAGAACAGTTCTTCTAAAGCAAAATAGAAGAAAAAAAGAGTTAAAATGGCTTGTGGCTTCTACAATGTTCTATTAGACAAATTCTGTCTGAGAAGAATATGTCACATTTTGAGCATCTGGAAGCAATATTTCCACTTGTGGATGTGCACAATATTGCTGGTCTCCCTCTTGGCCTCAGCATTTTTAAATAGAGAAGCCTTATAATATGACTAGCTGCCCTCTGTGACCGTTGCTCTCCAAGTAGATCTATTAAGAGCAAGACTCTCCCGTTTCAAGTGATTAATGTTGAAGTCCTTCAGAGACATTTTCAGGGTGAGCACAGGTCAAAATATAATACCGTCTTCGAGATTCTTAAATCAAGCATTCAGACGGCATGGCTAGCTCAGCTAAGTTGAGTCTTTTCAATCTTAGAAAACAGACTCTTGGCATTTGCCTTCTTGTTTACATCATCACCTTTAGGAGCCCCTGTCTTAGCAATGGGAAATAAACCTGTTATGACATGTTAGTTCTTTTAGATTTGTAATAATCATTTCTTTTGTTTTTGTACCTTGTACTGTTCTGGGCGTAGATGATGCCTGGTTGCTGAATATGGAGACGTTGTCTTGGAGTGTGCTTAGTCGCAGCACTGGCTTCCCCCGCCTGTGGCATACGGCCTCAACCAATCCGCACGGAGATGTCCTCATCTTTGGTGGCTGTGAGAATAACATCCTGGACGAGGAAACGTCAATGGTGGGTGCGAGATAAGAAGTTACTATAATTACAGTCAAAATTGTCCAAGACAACCACCCACTTTGGTCGAGGAGTAAAGTGTTTGTCTTAGACAAGTGGACATCTTGGTCAGTGTCATTATGATACAGCAAAAATGCGAGGGGGGAAGTTGGAAATGGTTTCCTGTATAGATAAAGTATAATACGGATAGGTCGAACACAGAGGACTTGAAATCATGCATCTGTTGAACTGTGCCTGCAGTCCTGTTGTTTTTTTTTTCTTCTTTATCTTTGTAAGATATCCCTCGAACTACGGATGCCTCGAACTACCGAGGCTGGTCCTGATGAATTTGAGCTATCCGTGTTATAATAATAAATAATAATAAATAAATAGCATTTGTATAGTGCATAACCCCGCTCGACAGCAAGCTCTATGCGCTTTACACTATATTATTACCCCAGCAGACCATAGAACACTCAGAAACATTCTCAGCTTCCCGGGAAGCATACAGTGCAAGCAGCTGATTAAGTGCTCAAACACTAACAAACTGACAAGATCTTTCACTGTCTATAGCTGGGTACCCATTCCCACCTGGGTGAAGTGAGGAAAACTCGTGTAAAGTGCCTTTCCCAAGGACACAACGTCGGGTCCCTTACAGGATTCGAACCCACAACCTTATATTGTAATTATCTTCGAGAGGTGGCAGATGGAGCAAGTTCAACAGTATTTTCATAGAAGATTTAGTGTCTTAGTTTATTGAGGGTATTCTTTTTCTAGGAGTACTTATCCGTATAAAATAATGATAATGAGGACATCAGGTCAATGCACTGATTATTATTTTTTTTAACTTCAGCGAAATTGATTTTTCTATAAGACATTCTTAAGTATTATGAATCACTCTTTTAGGATTACCTGTGATTAACTATTGGTTTGCTCAAGTTCTTGATCTTTTGTATAATGAGGTATCATATTTTCTCATCAGATTACTAGTCGGAAAGTTTTACTGTTGAGAACAAAACCTTTTTCATTGGAGAGGTATGTATTAATGTTTGTTCCTTTTCCAAATACATCAGAACTTTGCAGATATGTTACGACTTTCAAACATTTTATTTCTCATGTATGACTATATATATCAGCTTTTGTGTTTCAGTCTTGTGTTTAGGCTACTGAATTTAAAAGTTTTTATGGTTTTGAGCAACAGCTTTTAGCTGATATTTTTCTTTCTGATTTCAGTGAAGTAAACTTTATTGGAAAGGTCTCCTTTTTGTTTCAGATAGGTTTATTTTCTGTGAGGATGGCAGCCTTTTCTTAGATTTGGTTGCTTTTATGTTAAAATCAAGTAGGTGTAATCAAAGTGGGTTTCTTTTTGATAAACAAAAATCATTTCTTAAACAAACTGAAACTTTGGTCCTGTTCGCCGGTGTACATTTTTATCAAAAGGATTGGGGAAATATCTGTTCCTGTCCTTGTATTGGCGTCTGCTCGTCGTTATCTTTAGCTTCCCTTTGACAGGGTTTTTGAAATATTTTAGAATTTGCTTCTGGTTGTGTAACATCACTGTCACGAAAAAATATGACTCCCTGTTTTACATCATAAGTGAAACAAAAAAAGGGAACTGCCCTTTTTCCTTGTGACAGCACCGCTGTGAGATTACTTGAGGGCTTTTTGGTAGCTTTTCTTGTCTCTGAATATTGCATTATGAAAATTTCCCTCTCATCTTTTTTCTCTATTCAGTATTCTTTCAGGAATCCCTTCTGATATATGATTTCATTTCATTTTTAGAAATGATAGATAATAATCTTAATAATATTGAATCACTTTTAGATGGACTGGCGTCGGTCGCATAGTGGTTAGTCTACCGGACTCATAATCTTGAGATTGCGGGTCGAGGGTTCGAGCCTCAGCTCGGTCTGACGCTGTGTCCTTGGGAAAGGCACTTTACACGAATTTCCCGCTTGGCTTGGTCGTTTCGGAGACGGACGCTAAACTTGGATGTCCTGCCTTTAAAAAACCTTTAATGTTGATAGGGTCGGGTCGTTAGACCCATACCATTTCGCCGTTTACCATTTTTCACTTTTATGTGGTATATACTGCCCTATGAATGCTCATTGTGCTTTACGTGAACTATTTGAACATAATATTCCTTTCTGTTTCGTTTTTCCCTTTGAAGGCTGTGCCTGCACTGCATGTACACACAACGATCAGTCTTACGACCACAATGGGAATGTCTGCCCAGGCAGTTCCAGGAATGGCTGCAGGCGAAAGAGAAAGTATCGGAGGAGATGAAGCCGCCCATTTCGATGAGCAATGTGGTGTTGGGGCAGGGACCTTCTCTTTCACAACTCTCTATAGTGACAAAATCGGAGGCTCAGGGTCTCAATGACGACCAAGATTTTGCAAACTACTTGTTTCACGCTTTCTAATCCTGCCCTGGTCTTTTTAAGAATGTCGCTTTTGGAACACATGATATTTCAAATTTGGCTGAGAAAGTTGTGGAGCTTTGATGTGTGATTGCAGGCTGTGTGGATGCTCACGTTTTTTTTCCCTTATACTTGGAAATATTTTGACAAAGAGATATTATAAATGGTTTCCAGTCAGAAATGGTTGATGATTGTTTATGCTTGTGGATTTTGATAATTCATCTCATAAGTACCATATTGTGTGAAGTGAACAGAGATTGGTTTATACTTGTAGTGAAACTATTTCATAGTAAAGCTGTCCCCTCAAAATTATGCAAATTTAGATGGCCAAATTATGCCAAACAAATGCAAAATTATGCAAAAATGATGCAAGTTACCTTAACACCATTCACGACGTGTTTTGCACTTTTTCAACAAGAATTTTCATGTTTTAGATCTATTTACTGAAGAATTGAAAATAGAACATGTCAGTATCATTTATCAATAGTTTTTTGTGTATTTGGAAAGATACACATCAGTCAGAAAAAACAACAACCAAAAAATATAATCTCTGTAGCTTTCACTTTCAGCTGTATAGAGGGAAAAAAATGATTTTTACAAATATTGGAAAAAAAAAAAGACATCGGGACCTCTGATGTTGGCACATCACTAAAACCAGGGACACCTGTCGAACATGAAACATTAGCAGACACGAGAACAACTTTTGATTGATTGAAACGTGCTCAAGGAACAAAAGTCCATAACAAGGGAAATAACCAACTTGTCATTTAAACTTATTGTTCCGATTACTTCCCTTTAGTCACTTGGCGAGGCGTTAAAAATATTTTGTGAAACATTTTTAATTAAAAAACGTGAAAAAAACGCGGGGAATTCAAAATTATGCAAATGTTACGGAATTATGAGAAAAAAAGCGGCCGCACAATCGCATAATCCTACTGGGACAGGTAAAGGGCATGTGTTTGTTGAGGCCAAATTGGATAAAATGACATGCCTTTAGCTCTCTGCTGTGCTGCTGTGTAAGTGTAAGGAACCAGTCTTCAAAATAAAACCCTGATTTCTTTGACTCTTTGCCCACTAATTTCTTCCCAGTCAAAGATTCATTGTCACTCCTGAGGTCCTGGCTCTTTAGTAATTGTATGGTTTTGAAGGGGCATTTTTGTATATGACATACTTAACTATTTGGTATGTTGGTTGGTAAGGGAGAACCACTTCAATACTGAAGATTGATGTCTAAAACATGTTTTGGAAACTTGTAGTGTGGACTGTAAAGAAAAGCTCAAGATGAACAGTACCCTTCAAGACCTGCAGGCCATCCCCAAAAAAGCAGTTTGTTGTTTTTCTCAAATATTGAAAATGAATTAGATAATAGTTTTTGTCTTGCTTGCAGTATGGTACAAATGTTGTTAATTTTACGCTAAAACCTTTGCACTGGAGGTCCTCAAAGGGGAACTTTGACTTATGAGAGATGATGAATGATGAGGTTTTGTGTGCTGTACACAAAGTACAAATGTGTCTCAATGCAGTGGAATCGGGCGCTTGTCAATTTTTGGGCATGTGGAGTTATTGGTGTCATCTTACAGTTTGTTCATTTTTCTTCCTTTCAATTAAAAAAAAAAGCCATTTATCTCGAAAAAAAAGTCCCCATATTTGCGATTGAAGCAAGTGGGGGTCGCTGGTTTCTAAGATAAAATTGGCGAAAAAATGGCAGCGAAGTTTGGTGAATTCCATAGCTTCAGAGTCTTTGGAAGCTGAAAATCTACATTTCTTATACCTTTATTCAATGTTTTTCAGTGAAATCGGTGCTGAAATAGGTTTTTAAATGAACGTTAAAGGTGTTCAGCCAAGAAACAGAAATTCAATAAAAATTGATGAGCCAGCGGAAAAATGCCATTTTTTTCAGTTTCATTATTTTGAGAAGCGCCTGATTTCACTACACTGCCTCACGAATATTTTTTCTCTCTATGAGATTTGATAGCAGATCTGAAACAATAATCTATGTATATTTTTTATTCAGGTATGGTTATTGTTACACAAAGAATATTTGCTGTGTTCATAAAATATAAAAGGAATGTGTTAATTTGTGTACATACAGGTTCAATTCTGCTCACAATTATAATGATCCTGATGGTTTCTATGGTTCACATAGTTACTAGTATTTTGTTGTTCTTGTTTACCTTTGTGATCATTGTTTGTGTGCTTGAAAGAGGTTGTCCAGCATCTATGGTGTAGTGATAACGTGCTTCGCTGTCGCTTTGACTTGCAGGAGACCTGAGTTTGATTCCTGTTTAGGGAGAATTTATATTGAGCATCTGGGTCTTTCTGCTTAGACGTTGTTTCTCTCTCAGTCAGGGTTGACCTTGACAAGCAGGGTCAAAGCCCACCTCCTCAATGATCTTAACTGTGTTTATGGGGACTTAAACAAAAAGCAACTTAACATTTGAAAAAAGTTTTAAAAATTGAGATCCAGCATGTGAACTAAATCTGAATGAGCACAATCTTGCTCACTCTATCTCTTCTTTGCATGTACCCATTCCCACCTGGTTGAATGAGGAAGATTTATATAAAGTGCCTTTCCCAAGGATACCACATCAGGAAGCATGATGGGATTTGAACCCATGACCTGCCTTACGGTTGCGAGTCTGAGAGCCTCGACACTAGGCCACCGACGCCAATAAGAGCGACATGATGTTAAACTTTAATTAGTTTTAGGAACATACATTTCTAAAAAATGAGGTAAAAGTGTTGGAAGGGGCACTGAAGCAATTATTAGAATTTTAATGTCAGGAGCTTACATTTCTTTGTCACATGAAGGGGCATTGTGCGTGAATGATCGGTAATTAGAGTTGAAAAGTCTTCCACTTCGCTATACTATAAATATTTCTTTGTACTTGTATCTATGACGGGTTAACTCTCAAACTGAGACTTACTACTTAGGCCACAGGGGTAAAGTAGAGGAATTTTATGAGAAATACTGTCTTGGTTGGTTTTACCCAAAAATGTTATTTTGCTTTTAAAAAAAATAAAATCGTCAAATTGCCCAAAAATATAGGTTTTTTGAGTAATTGTTTGCTATTGACAAGCGTGTTTTTAATTCAATTTTTATACTATTACCTTCATCATGTGGTTATAAATGTCAAATTAGTTTATCAGTTTAAATCTACTCTCCTGTTAGCTGGAAGTGGGTGGTTGGCGGGTGCTCTGGCGTGGGTTGCTCATTCTTTCCAATCAGACATATGGGACACGGTCAAAAGGTGGCCACAGGAACTCAGAAATTAAAGTAGCTCAGAGCACAGAATTGTTGCTGAATATTACTTAGTTGGAATTCAAATTACGGTACATTTTTTGGGTAACAAATAAGGTAACTCAGGGCCCATTTTTCTGTGAAGGTTGATATTAAATTATTATGATGGGTTCTTAAAGTGTTTGATGTCACATGTCACAACAGAAAATTAAAGATAAAAGCTCCATTTTCACTTAAAATACTTCCAGTAGCTGTCGAAATGCTTTAACTACTTAAAGTCATTGGACTAAGGCAGAATTTATATCACAGGTGCAATTTTGATTTAAGTTTACACATAGAAACTCATGTGACAGGTCACATTATATCAGACACTGTCATGGATTTGCCATTTCATTCATTTTTTTACAGGATCCTTTGATAAAGTAAAATCCAATTTTAATTTCAAGCCCAAGTATCCGTTTCAATTCTTCTAGTCTGCTGTTACCTGGAAGTGGGTGGCTGGCTGGTGCTCAGGCATGGTTTGTTCCTTCTTTCCAATCAGACGACATATATCGTACTTTTCTCTCCCCTTTTCTTTGTGTGTACTCTTTAGTGGTAACATTTCTAATCTTTGGCACTTGTATTATATGACCTTTTTGTGTTACAAGTACTGGAAACTCCCTCTAAAACTAAAAATCTTTTACTTGGAAAGTGGGCGGGCTGATGAATAGAGAGTTTGCATAATATAAGATCTATGTAGCATAGGAAAAGGATAGGAGGGTAAACAATTAATTAACAAGACTAACACAATGAAAGATTTTTCAAAGGGCAATCTTTTTTATAATAAAAGATAAGAAACTGAATAATACTTTGCTGCACAAACTCGTTTTCAGTGTGTTTGACATTTGGCCCGGAATTGGTTACACTTTGTATGTAATTCAATTTTGGAAAATGTAACATGTAGCCTACCAGTTTTTTTTTTTTCTCAAGGCAACCACACATGCCATACAGTGTAGTCTGCTTAAACTGAACAGGGTTAATCCTAAATAAGACGGTTAACTAAAAGAAAAGACTATCCCTGATCCTAAATAAGACGGTTAACTAAAAGAAAAGACTATCCCTGATCCTAAATAAGACGGTTAACTAAAAGAAAAGACTATCCCTGATTTTTTTTGGATTTTTTTGTTTGAACCATTTCTCTATTCCAAAATGTGGGAGAAAGAAAGAGAAGAAGATCCGTCAGTCCCGCAGATTTTGGTGTACTTCAATGTATTCCTGTTTTACTTGCAAGTGAAGCCACAAAACCTAACTTCAGTGGTTTTTGCAGGTAAATGTAATACTCACCACTGCCTCAGCTAGCAATAGAATGTATCTATGGATGTCATCTTTGACGATGCCATGCAAAGTTCTGGTCAATGGCTGGAAAGTTTTTTTGTACTGTGTGATATGATATGATTGTACCTGTATTTTGTTGTAATTAAACCACATACATGCTTCATTGATTGAATGGGTTTTAGTTTCAGTGTTGCCTTTTTTTCAATACATTGTGGGTTATGTATGAGAGAGATGACCTCCCTGTCTTTGTCCATGAAAAGTACAGCCAAACACACTTTTCATAAATGGCCACCCACTGTTGAATAAATTATAAAAATGTTTTTTTTAGACAGTGACAGTGGCTGTCATAACAGTGTCATTATTATATAAAAGCTCATGGAGATGGAAGTGGGAAGGGGTCGTTTGGACAGGTGATCGTCTTGGACAGGTGTCTGTTACAGTAGGTTAGGCTTTACTTCTCATACTTGCGCTATTGTTTATGGCTGCATCGGTGATGACTTACTCATGTTTCAAATTATTAATTTTTTATGACATGGATGATCACGGATGATTGGAGTTGGAGGGCGCTGCAAGTAGGTCCGACTTTACTTTCTCTTTATTTTTATCTGACCATCTGTTTCACTTCACCTTTTCTGGGCACTAAATGACCATTATTGTGTTGACGTACTTCTCTTTACTCAAGACCAAAAAAAACAAAAACAAAAAACGAACAACAACATTTTCCCTCACGAGTTTTGTTGAAGTGTTTATTATTGCAGACTCTCTCTCTCTCTCTCTCTCTCTGTCTCTCTGTCTCTGTCTCTCTGTCTCTCTCTCTCTCTCTCTCTCTCTCTCT